CCTCAGGTCTGATTTGCAGAAGTGCTGAGCACTTGCACCGAGGTAAATGGGAGCTGTGCATTAAGCAAACACATTGCTAGATTCATAGATGTTTGGGTCAGAAGGAATCTTAGCAGATCATTAAATCCGACCCCCTGCCCTGGGCAGAAAAGAGTGCTGGGGTCAGATGACCCCAGCCAGGTGCATGTCTAGCCTCCTCTTAAAGATCCCCAAGGTAGGGGAGAGCACCACCTCCCTTGGAAGCCCATTCCAGATTCTAGCAATCCTAACCATAAAGAAGTTCTTCATAGATTCATAGTGTTTCATAGTGCTAGGGTTGGAAGGGACCTAAACAGATCAGGTCTGACCCCCTACCCCAGGCAGGAATGAGTGCAGGTAATAACACCAGCCAAATATCTGTCCAGCTTCCTCTTAAAGACCCCCAGCGTAAGCGAGAGCACCACCTCCCTTGGGAGCCCATTCCAGCGCCTGGCAGCCCTAACCGTAAAGTAATGTCTCCTGATGTCCAGTCTGAACCTTCTAACAATTTGTGCCCGTTATTCCTAGTAACCCCTGGTGGTGTCTGGGGGAACAGAGGCTCCCCCAATTCCTGCTGTTCCCCTCTGGTGAGTTTGTAAACAGCCACCAGATCCCCTCTCAGCCTTCTCTTGTGGAGGCTAAATAGGTTCAGGCCCTTCAGCCTCTCTTCATAGGACCTGACCCACTGCCCCTTGACCATGTGAGTGGCCCTCCTCTGGACCCTCTCAAGGTTAGCCACATCCCTCTTGAAGTGCGGCACCCAGAACTGGACTCAGTACTCCACCTGCGGCCTGACCAGTGCCGCATAGAGGGGGAGGATCACCTCCATGGACCTGCTTGTGATGCATCTGTAGATGCTTGACAAGGTGAGGCTAGCCTTACTGACCGCTTCCTCACATTAGCGGCTTATGTTCATCCTGGAGTCAACAATAACTCCAAGATCCCTTTCTGCTACCATGTTGACAAGAAAGGAGTTCCCAAGCCTATAGGTGTGTTGCTGGTTCCTTCTCCCTAGATGCAGCATCCTGCACTTGTCTGCGCTGAATTTCATCCTATTCTCATCCGCCCACTGCTGTAACCTGTCTAGATCTAGCTGGATTCGGTCCCTCCCCTCCAGTATGCTCACCTCACCCCACATCTTGGTGTCATCAGTGAATTTGGAAAGCGTGCTTTCCACTCCTACATCCAGATTGCTGATAAAAACATTGAACAGTACAGATCCCAGGACCACAGCACAGAAGTATAGGAGTGGATATGGGGCTTTTGGCCTGCCCTCAGGCCCACCCACAAATTGTGCCCCTCCAGACTCAGGAGGCACCAGTCACCCCTGATCCCGTGTGTTATTTATTTAAATACACTGAAAAGAAAGTCAAAGAAATGAGGTGGAGAGAGGTCTCAAATCCTTCCTGGAGCACTAACAAAAAATAAATAAATAAAAAAAGAACAATTAACAATTCTTAAGTTAACTCTTTATTTTATCCACGCTCTCATGTGTGTTCTCACAGATCTCTGCTCTTTGTTTTATATTTCCCTAAGCCTTCTTTAGGAGATCTGTGCACTAGAGTGCCATGCTCACTTCCAGGAACTGCCTCCCTGCAACTTAGAAATTCCCTTCATCTTCTCATAACAGCCTGTAAACAAATCGCTTCCCTCAGTTACGCTTTTTCTTCTCTTGATTTCTGATTTCTCATAACTAGCTTGAAAAAACAACCCCAAAAATACTAAATTCTCTTGTTTCCTCAACATCTCCCAAGGCTGCATGTTACATTCATCATAGCTTTTATCATTACCTGTGTCATCCATCTGAGGACTTAAAAAGATGGTGATCTCCAGGGAAGCTGACTAGACATTGGGAATAAACTAAGATGTATTTAATACAGACAATGATCAAAATCTATATAGATTTTATAATCTATATATGTTCTATTATAGCCCTGAGTCTGCAGAGAGCTTCCATGAGGGCTTCTTCGGCTTGAAAGAAAAAGGCGGTACTTATGCTTATGGTCCCAGGGTTTTCGGTCACACAGCCTGTTTATATGTTCAGGCTGTGAACAGCCTGATTTAGTCCTAAGAATTCATAGGTGAAAAGCCAGACAAAATGGTTGCAGTGTCTTCCTTACATTTAATTTATTTTGCTTACTCAGAGCTACAAGATCATAGGGACAGTCCTGATGCGTTTGGGCAGCAGTGTGTACTGCCAAAAGTAATCTAAAGGCCTGGGATCTGAATCTGTTAGGTCTGTGGAAGAAAAAGACTGAGTAATCAGCATCAATACCTCAATAACAGTCTCCTTCAAGTAAGCAGTTACTGTTGGAAAGATAAATCATGTGTATGGTATATTAAAAAGGAAAGCAGACTACTTTGTACATGATACAGCAAACAACTGTGCTTTCTCATCTGGACATTGTTTCCAGTGTTGGTCATCTCACCTAAAGCACAGTAAAATATAGCTGACATTGTAGAGATCCAAAGAGAGATAGAAGTGATGAGAGGGGTATGATGGAATTACATGTGGTATAATTACACAAAGGAGCATCACATGCTTTGAAAATATGAAGAGCCAAATATGCTTCAAGGAGCTAAAAAAATGAAATCTGACCCCTAAAAGGGTTAGGCGTTGTCTCAACCCCATCCCATAATGAAAAAACAAGGCATCCCTTTATCAGATCAATGGGCAATGCATTAGAACAAAAATGAAATACTACTTCATTTATCCCCTGATTTCACTCCGATTGAAATCCATGGTAAAATGCCCAGTGATATGAATAGCCAAGGCCCAGGCCCAGGCTGTACAGTCGATGTGTGGAAGACATCCCCCTAGGGGATCTGGTGTCAAATATTATGGCTAATTTTGAAAAGGAGGATGACAGTTCTGTGATCATTCTTAATATTTGTGACTGAGCAAACTATATTAGTAAGGAAATGAAACCTCATGCTTTAGGGTATAAGGCAGACTATTGGGATGTAATCCTTGCAAGTGGAATGCAAAGCCTTTGGGGCTACCTCCTGGCTTCCAACACTCCAGCTCCACGTATGAGAAGAGCCTCAATATGAAATTGGCAGGATGGTCAGTTGGTTTCGTTTTCTGGTTCATCCTCTACTGCTAGCAGAGAAAAGCAGCGCTGGAGAGTGTCTTTCCATTTTCACTTTGAGGTTCAGCTTAGATAAGATTTGCTATGCTGGATCTTCCCATTGCTCCCCCTTCTGTGATAAATAAATAATGTCCAGCTCTTACTCAACGCTTTCCATGAGGAGATTTCAGAGCATTTTACAGAGGAAGCCAGTATTATTGTTTACATTTTACAGATGGGGAAAACTACTGTCATATCTACAATTGTGGACAATACTAAATATCTTAAAAGATGGGGCAATAAATGTTGTAGGCACTTCTGGAATAACTTGATCAACAAAATCTTCCATTGTTTGAGGTAGCTCTTGAGTTAACTTTAATCCAATCCTTTCTTTGCCAACTCTGGATATTTTTGTTGTCTTGCATTTCTTTTTCTTTTCTTTTAACATGGTCATCACTTGGCCTAAATAAATTTTGCAAAAATAAGTTCCTCAGACAAATTGTGTGTTGTATAAAAATTACATCTAATGTTGATTTTTTCCCCCCTTCCCGCTGCATTGCCTATCAAGGGACAGAAAAGATGAGGAAAGTATCTGAGCAAAACAGGGTAGTAGGCATGGAGTAGCAAGGTGGGAGATTTAGAGCAAAGGATAGAAAAGAAGTAAGGAATTCAGAGATGGAGGCAGCCAAGGAATGAAAAAGGTGGTAGGAGGAAGATATGATAGCAAAACCTGAGAGAGAGCATGGGGGAAGTCAGGAAAAAAGAAAAGATAGATGCAGAACTTGTAATATGAATGTGAAAAGTAATCATGTGTTTATTGAGGGGATCAATTCTACAGTTTTTTTCTGTGCAGCTCATTTAATAAATGCTTTCTGTGAATGTTAGGTGAGCCAAAGTATTGTAGATCTCAAAATTGACACTGTGCATCAAGATACTCAGCAGGGGAGAGGACTCTGACCCCCTACAATAAGCCAGTTATCTTTGGGTTATCATTTATAGCATTAAAGGGTTAACCAAACATTGAATGAGATTTTGAGTGTGTGGCTACGGCATCAGGTGTTGCCCGCTAGCAAAGGCAGGTTATGTTTATTAGCTAGACTTGTTATAGAACTGGCCCAAAAATAGACTCCGGTTTATAGGAAATTTCCCTTTAAAGAAATAAAACAAAGAATGGTTTAACTTTCAATTAGAATGAAGCAAAATCTTTTAAAATGTTCCTATGAATTGGAAGCTTCTTGGCCCTTGTAGCTGCCCAGTGAAATTGACATTCTTGTTTCAGTGTTGGCAGCAGGCATGAAATTAACAAAAATGACAGTTCTACCAAGTGGTAGCTCCCAGCTTTCCTGGCTGCTGGGCAAACCCACCGCATGGAATTTTTCTTATCTCGCTGCCAGCCCTACAACCAGAGTGTGAAAGCTGGATAGCAAGCTGGATTCTTTTTGGCTCATGTTTCATCCCACAGTAAAGATTCTTCAGTCATTCAGGACTTATAAATCACACTGCAGTCAGTGCGCATGCCAAAATGTAATCCAGCTTGCTCTTAAATGGATATATAAATTCTTCATTGCTAACAGGAATCAATACAAATCAAAGCTTGGGTTTTGCCACTTAGCGACAGACAGGGCTTTGGGGCTAATCCAACGCCCTGGTCACTAGCAGTGCAGCTGCCCCAACCCTGGGCTAGCCAGCCAGAAATCAGGACCCTGGCATCCTGCCTTCAATTTAGTGAAAGTTGAACAAAACATATTGGGCTCAAGAAACAAGTATTTTTTACAATTAAGCTTGTTTTGCTAGAAAATTCTCAATTATATTTTGATCTATTATTTGATTTGGTAAATACAGAATTTCTGTGCTAAGTACAAGATGCTTATCTATGGTATGCTTGTACTTATTTACCTCTTCTCTCCCCAGAACGTCTCAGTTTTAGAAAATCATCACTGGCGATCCACAATAGGCATGCTTCGAGAATCAGGGCTCCTTGCCCATCTGCCAAAGGAAATGATGTAAGTGCACCTCATGAGAAACATGCTGATGAATTCCACAGAAAACCAGTCACTGGCTTATTTGACTGCTTGATCTAACAACAAAAGCAGAGACCAAGGGACTCCAAGCAAGTTAGGCTAGCCTACTCCCCAGGACGGAGCAAAGCAGAGCAGCCAATTAGTGAGAGAGACATCTGCCCTAGTTCTACCATAGGGACATTTTCTAGACATGTGCCACTGTTACCACTGCTGGCATGACTTCACCAGTATTAGCAAAGGGAGAGGGTCTACCTAAATCATAGGGGGACTTGCAAATTTTTGCGGATTGATCGGTACTTAAAGCTCTACCTCCACAGTCAGTTCACGGTGGTCCCACCCCTCAGTACTGATTGACAGAGAGGCCCTGGGTGGGGGGGAGGGACCACAGGGCAGCTGCCATCTTGCCACCCCAGCAGCCAGCAGCTTCCCCTCCCAGCATTTTATTTTTAGTATTTTGTTGTTGTTGCTGCTGTTGATTTCGTGGACAAGCCTGGATTTTGTGGTTTCCACAAAAACTGCAAATTGAGTAGTTCCCTAGCAATGGGGGGAGTCCCAGTGTAGCAAAGCTCTGAAGGTCCCCACTGGGTTTTTTACACTAGATCAATTAAACCTGTTCAGAACTAACGTAAAAAATTATGGAAAATTTTGAGCTAAATCCAGATGCACTTTCCTGTGTTTCAGGTGCCCCGGTCTGGGTAATCAAGGAACAGCTTCCTACTTAATATAAACAGTGTCTTTATTATAGCAGTTTCTTACAGAGCTGTTACAGGGCCTGCTGTTCTCCCCCAGCCTCTCTAACTCTCCTCCACTTCCTGTCTCCTCCCCCTCACTCCTTGTTCCTCCTTCAGACTCCTCCTTTCTGCTGCTGCTGGTTTTGCCTCTGAGATCCTTATATATTGTTACATCCTGAGCCTAAGTGATGCTTATGTAGCTACCAGCAGCAATACTAACATGTAAGCATGGCTAAGATGCTATTTGAAGCTGCTGGGGGGTACAATCTGGAGAAGGAGCCCCCCTAGCTGTTAGCCCAAAATCCCAGTGGCTAGCATATTTGCTCTGGGACAAGGAGAAAAAGATTCTATCTAGGTGTACCCCCTTGCCCAGTGGTGGTTTGAATTCGCATCTCCTGCTACCTAGCTCAGTGCTCTTACCACTAGGTAACAGGAGTTATTAGCCACATCTCTCTCCATCCTTCCTCTTGAGGTTGGTTCATCACACGTTCCACTTATTATTTATTGCATAAAGTGGATAAATAGCACTGCAATAGTTTCAGCCCCACTGAGGGCAGGAACTCTGGATACAACCCATTCCCTTGTAGGGCAGCAGCCAACTTCCTGAGCCCCGCTCCCTCTGGTTTCTCTCCCTCCTCCTGACCCCACTTAGCTGCCCATGGAGGATTGTTCTGGCTGACATGTAGCCTGTAACCTGGTATTTAGAACATTTTGCTGGGAAGTAGGAGAAAGAGGTTCAAACCCTCTCTGGATGAAACTGGGTCTCCTATTCCCTGGGCAGATCCCTAACCACTCGGCTTCTTCACCTTCCCCCCAGCACCAATTGTGGTTTTGCTAAAAATAAAATTTTAGAATGTGCATGGTATGATGCAAACACTCAGGTGATGATATTCCCTTGCACATCTATGCAGCCAGAGTTCAGGCTATTGAATATACTCACCACAGAAACACAGGGCACACATATCTATATGGACTCCAAACCTCACGTAAGTGCCAAAATTGCCATTATGCAGCTACGTAACTGCCACTTAGGTGCGTGAAGATGAAATAGGATTTAGCTCTTAGAGAAGGTCTCCCTAGCATAGACATGGCCTAGACATCATCCACGCAACCAGGATAGTATTTAACTTTACTGTTGCCTTGTGGGAGCAATGACAGCCCGGGCAGAAAAGCCAAAGACTGGATGTAATCTGGGCTAATACTGATGTGCTGCTTTTTCTGCTGCAGCTGTTTGTGTGCATGCGTGCACAATGCTACAGGGGCTGGAGACAAATCCTTTGGATTCAAGTCACCCAGCAGCTTGCCACATCTAAGTTTTAGTCACTGGTGACTTGGGCAAGAATGCAAATTAAGTCCATCTCCCACTGGTAATCTCCTAAAGCATCCAGTCTGTCTTCTCAGTTGTTCTTAAGAGCAATGAAGTTCAGTCCCCTGTTCTGCGTATGGCTGCCAAACTGGAACTGGATGTGGCTATTCATTCTCCTGCATGCTTTCTGTGTCCTCCCAGTAATATATCATGCTGTGTAGTTTTCAGTCTTCACACTACGTTTTGGAAGCTCCCTGGGCTGTCTATGCCAACACCATTATTCTGCTTCCTTGCATCTTCCACATGACTCCCCTTAGGCAGCTAAAATGCTTGTATCCTACAAGTTGTTTCTATAAAGGATAAGGAAGGGGATAAGGCTGAGTCCACAGCGCGAGAATCTCTCTGCCCACTCACGTCATCATGTAATCTGCAGAGGGAGATGGGAGGTTAAGTGGATTTAAACTATTAACGTTCAACAATCCCCTGTTCAAAAGGGCACATTTTTCTTGACTGCAGACAGGATATTGAGCAGCAGCTGGGCTCCCTGATCTTGGCAACAGACATCAATAGGCAAAATGAGTTCTTGATCCGTTTGAAAGCTCACCTCGACAATCAGGATTTGAGACTGGAGGATGCACATGACAGACATTTCATGCTCCAGGTACCTTTCTGAATCCTTGTCAGTGTATCACAACTTTCATGCATGTTACCTATGCCTCTACCTCCGGGATCCTGGCACCCACTATCTGCTGCTATCTGACCTGCCTTGCAAACAAAACATACCCCTAATCTTGTTCCCTTGCACAATCTACATACAACAAATTCAGGAAGGGATCAGTGACTGAGTAGCTCACATCAGCTATTATTCATTTCTTTATTCTCAGGCTACCTTGTCTCTTTCCCACAACAGGCAAGAGTTTTAGCCTCTTACTGCAGCCTCACTGTCCTATTTTACAGTGGCACTGGTGGCAGGGACTTAAGTAATGGCCATTTGGCCATTACTTCCAGCCTCTATCTGCACAAAGAGCAATCACTATCATGGCACTAGCAGTGGATGGTGATTCTTCTTTCCCAGCAAATGAGGAAACCAAACCAAAGTGATTCTCTCAGCCCTACCAAAGTTGTTAGTAGGACATTCAGAACAAAGCTCCAACCAAACAAAGCACCTCAAGAAATAACCACTGTGTAAAACTACCAGCTCAAGGCCTTCCCTGCAGTTGTTCTAACAGGGCGTGTATAGACAAAACGGGGGCCCTAAATTGAAGCAGTGGGTTTTTAAAAACACTGCTTCAATTTAGGGCTGATTAAACCCCCTGTGTCATGCACACACCCTGCTAACTTACCTGCTTCTCTGGTGGGGAGGGGAGGGCGAGCTGCCAGCAGGTAGAGCGGCTCCTGGGCTGCAGGGGGGGCACTGGTGCTTCTCTCTGCAGCAGCTGCGGCCCCCTCCAGGCGGCACCTGCCTACAGGCACCCAGCTCAGGCAGTCCTGGGCAGCACTGCAGCCATGAAGGGAAGCACTGGGCCCCTGCGCAGCTCAGGCAGGCATCAGGCTCACCACTTTTCTTGGGCAGAGCTGCTTTCCTGGGCTGCTGCCAGGCTGCCTGTACGGGCTTCCTGAAGAGCCGTGGTGCTGCATGGGAGCCCAGTGCTTCACTCCACGGCTGTAGGGGCAGCAAACTAAAACTCCTCAAAGAAATTTTAGTTTGCTGCACCCCAAGTCATTTAAGGTTCATTTCACCACCAAATTTCCTACAGTGGCTGGAATTAATGCGCAATACACTGCCGAGGCATGCAAACACTGACACCATTAAAGCAGTGCAAAAGCACTTAGCACTCTTTAAAGTGTTGTCCAAATACACCTCTCATTTCATCTACACATGGTCACAGATGGCAGCTACATGGCTGTGCAGTTTTGTTCAGCAGTTATGCCACCTGGGTACAAAGCAAACCCTGGGAGAACAGCAAGTGCTGAAGGAACACGCTCACCTAATGCCAGCTGCCTTAATTCCCTCACAGAGGTAACGTTACTGTGCCTGCAGAAAGAGGCTCCTGCTGCCTCAAAACAGGTATAGACACACTTATAGCCCTGCCAGCTGGAGCCTAGACCATACCTGTGCTTTGCCGATTTCAAGCCAAGATGAGCCTGGTAAGGGAAGGAATAATAACTACTTGAGAAGCTGCTGCCATTTCAGAAGACTAGGTTGTGTAGTAATCTGCTTGTCTTGCGTCCTGAAAACAAAATGCCTTCTTACTGCCTGAACAACATGAAGTTGTTGGGTTCATGCTTCTTAACAGATCAAGCAGGATGCTGATTCAAGTAAGGAGGAATCACAAATTCTACCTAGGGTAAAAGTCACCACCTCCCTTCTAGAAAAAGAAACTGAGGCACAGAAAAGGTGGATTAGACTTGAGAGTAGAAATCAAGAGACATTCATTCTTATGCATGAATTGGTCACTGGTTGGTCACTTCCTGGCTATCCAGCCATCAGAAAATCACCGCAGTTCTCTGAACCTCATTTTTCCCATTTGTAAAACAAGGAGAAGAGTGAACTACTGAAGACTGCTAGTACAGTGCTCTGTGGGCACAAAGCAATATCACAGCCAGTTCTATCCAATTGGCTGAGGGAAACGAGAACATCCTCCCCCATTCTGCAAGTATGAATTTACACAGGATAAAGCTGTTGTTTTTCATGCTTTCTCCACTAGGCCCTAGCATGTCTTTGCACAAATACATCTTGCCTAACCCATTAAGAAGCACAACTGCAAGCCCATCAACCAATTGGACATTGTCCATGAGGAAGCCAGGCAGAAGACATTTGGTTTTGAGGAGATAAGGCAGGCAGATGACGGTGTCATACTCTTCCTGAGAAGCAGCAGCTACTTGATTCCATTCCAGCCCTACCCCAGCTCTACCTCAGCAAAGAACTTTAAACTCCTAGCAAAGGGAAACAGAGCCAGAGGCAAACCAGAGGGTCCTGTACTTAGCTATGTACACAGCAACACAGCTGACCTATCCAAGTGGACTGTATCCACATATCAAAATTATCCCTAATGTAAGTGATATGAAAGGTCACTCACCAAGACCACAAGGAAGTGCTGCCCAAACATTCTCACACTGGCTTGGCTCTTCCATTCCTCATCCTCAATGGCAGATGCTGAGCCAAGCAGTCAGCGGGAGCCAGCCTGAAGCTTTTGTTGGCTTGCCCACCATGAGTCATGTCCAAGAAGTTCTGCAGTCTTGGAATTTGGTGCTTCTCTCATTCTCGCTACTATAAAAGTGGGGCTCTGAATGCTGATTTTGTTACACATTTAAGTAAGTGTCATTTCCTGAAGAGGCATGTTGGGGTGGGGCTCAGTTTCTCAAATGTATTCTTAATCCCACTTGACAATGAGTGTGCCACTAAGCGGTTTCACAGCCCCTTGGAGTGCAGATTTGCTGCTGAGTGACTGCTAGCTAATCATTTTTCTCCCTCCCTTTTTGCTTGCAGATCGCACTCAAGTGTGCTGACATTTGCAATCCCTGTCGGCTTTGGGAGACGAGCAAGCAGTGGAGTGAAAGGGTCTGTGAGGAATTCTATCGGCAAGGTCAGTCCTCTGATGTACCAAACAGGTTCCTCTTTCACTTTCAGGCAATAATATGAAGAAAGAGAAATTGGCTTATCTGAAGTGGCACTCGCTCTGTAGTCAGCTCTGCCTACCTGATTCCCCCTGCCACAGAGATATGCTAGATCAGCAGATTTGTGGCCTTATTTTGCAAGTAGTTGCTAATGAAGGCGGAGGTGAAGAAACAGAAGAGAAGAGCAGCATGTATTTCATTGATCTGACTGCTCCTGTAAGATGGTGTCAGTGGGCGCATCTACACAAGCAATCAATGCAAAACAGTAAACTCCAGAGTTTATTGCTCCCAGGTGTGCTGTTTGAACGTGGGCCTGGGACCGCAGCACACTGAGCCAGGTCAAATCAGGCCCAGCTGGCAGAAGGCCCCAGGGGTCAGCCAGCCAGGAGCTTCCCCCCCACCCCTCAGCTCAACATGCTGCAGAGAGGCTGGCTGGGGCATGAGGATGCTCCAGTGTGGGGCTACCTGGCATGCAGCCCCTGCACTGAAGCACTCTCCTTCCCTAGCCAGCCGCATCAGGATCTACATGTGTGCTGCTGTGGAGTAAAAAAACTCTGCAGCAGGATAGTACTTGTATCTACAAGTACTATCCTGCTGTGGAGTTAATTAGCTTACTCCAGTGTAATCACCCTTCACTTGTAAATGCTAAAACATTTACTATGGAACTAACTAGTCAACTGTTCAGTAAATGTCTTGTGTAGACATGCCTAGTGAGTGGGGGTTTGCTGTGGCTCAGACCTTAGTTTTCACTAGCAGCACAGAGTCTGAATCTTCTTCAGATGTCCTCTAGTCATCATCACTGAACCAAAACCCAGATGGATGTGGGCTGCACATGCAATGCACACCTATCACACTTGGTTTTACTTAATAGTTGCAAACTTATCTTACATTTGCCATTTCCAAAATGCAACTGACTTCTTTTTACAGTTGCAAGTAAGATACAGTCCTAATGCACTTCTCAAACCCCTAACTGAATTGAAGGCCCAAACCTCTGCTAGAATCTATTGCAAATATGTTCTAACCCCTCCAAAGAACTCAGCTATGGATGGTGTTCGGTGAGAGCTGATTACACCATTTCACTCCACCATAAAACTAGGCTGTTCTATAAGACAGAAGACAACATGGTGTTTAATCACTGTTAAATCTTTCTTAGTAGCTTCTCCACAGCCTGAGGAAATGGGCAGGAATGCTAAATAAGCAAGCACAGTGGATTAATATAGGTGTGGCTAACCTGCATTACAAATACCATGGGCAGCCTCTGTATGTATCATGAGGCAGATTAGGGAGGGGCAGGCAGCACAGTGGCAGTTCAGGGAGCCAGATAGCAGAGCAGCAGATCAATCAAGATAAGGGAATCAGAGTGGTAGTCGGTGAGGGTGCAGGGCTTAATTTGTGGCACACCTGCCAAAAAGGTACATTAGACCCACTGGTCCAATGTACTGAATTTATTTAAACTTGTCAATTACACTACAGAATGAAATCAGATCTGACCATAATGGCCAGCATTGTCAGGTAGCTGAATTATTACCTGGCATAGTTAGTACACAACAAGTATGGATGAAGCCCCTTTTAGTCCGTTCAGGCCCAAGCTCAGCCCCACAGCACTGGATGCAAATTGTCTTTGTCCATACTTGCGCCCTAACTGTGTTCAGTACCAGTTTGTCTAACTGGTTACTGGTATCTGTGCTCTGTAACAGAAGGTCTGGTCAGATGAAATGCTTACATCAGTATAATCAGCACTGCACCAGTGTAAAAAAAGTAGCAGATGACCAATCCAAACTCCTAAACCAGGGAAACTTCACCACTGCTGAAGAATTACTCCTGTAAGAATCAGGGGTAAAACTCTACAGGTGCAACTAACACTGGTTCACATTTGATTTGTCTGCATCCATTCGAGGTTGGCTGTTTGCTAACAGCTAACCAGGTCTCACCTGTTCTCCTATCAACTAGTGGCAAGTCACAGAGTTAGCTGTCATGCCTCTATCTTGGGATTGGTGCACACGTCCATTCCTGATCCCAAGGTAATGTACATCAGCTTACAAAACTGATATAAGTTATCAGGGGTATATGTCTGTCTCTCCCTGCCCTTCCTGTTGATTGGACATGAGTGCTTGATGATGTTCACAACATTGAATTTATCAGGGACCAACTATTAGTCCCATAGCAACTGACATGAGTGGAAAAGGCTAAAGTCTTTAAAATGTGTCTTGGGGAAATACTTGTAATGCCATATAATGTCACTGCTTTAACCAGGGTCTGGTATCATGAGGAAATGTTGTAATTGGTCTTAATACCTGTTCAGCTATACTTTAAAATCAGTCGAATGATAGTGTATATTTAATGAAGTTTAATCTTTTTTTATGGAATTGAGGGAGTGTTGAATCCTGTTCCAAAAAATACTTTTCAGCCTCCTTGAACTGTTCCTAAACAGCTTTAAAAAACAGTTTAAACTGATTGCAAATTTTCTCAGTGCAGATAAATCCTGTGTGACTGATTCATGCAGTTGGGGCTCCAAGTAGTTAATCAAAGTCTGTATCTTTCATAGAAGTGAGCAGTAATTCTTACTATACAAAGCAGAATTTCGGCTTCTTTGATTAAATGAGTTGTCAAAGCCATAGAAGCAGGTAATATATTCCAGGACATCAGTTATAGATTAACTGAATATTTGGTAAATGAGGCAAGGCTGAATATTTGTACTGGTGTAATAACTAGATCTGGCAAGAACTTTTCAGTGACGAAATCTCCTTCATGTTTAATTTTGAAAACAAAATACATCTTTATGCCTATATATTGGTACTAGGAAAACAGTCAAGGAAATGTTTTACATGTACACATGCATGTTCCTTTGCCAGCCAGCACTTTTCATTAAAAACAAATTTAAAAAAAAAACCCTAAAAAATCATAAACCCCAAGCAAATTCAAAAATCAATTCCTTATGTTGGTTTTATTATCCCAAAGACAGTACCTGAATATTTTTCCAAAATTGCTCTTAGTACTTACATCAAGGACTTTAATCTGGGTTTCATACAAGCTCTTCACATTTAGTTCCTTGTTAGAAACACTAAGTATTAGCTGCTGGCCTCTAAAGGCAATTTCATGACAGAGCAGTCACCTGGTGATTAACACAGCTGAACTTCATCTACATTAGTGCTTGGACCATTGCTAATACTGATGCAGCTAATCCATCGCTACAAAACAAGTATAATTTTGAATCATAGAGCATCTTAACAGGGGTAAAACAGGAACAAATTTTTGAGCTTTCTCATGTGTATAAGAATAACAGAAGGAGAGCCTTGTAGTATACTCTAAAAGGGCAGATTGTAGGTCCAACTAATGACCCTTGGGCACTGACAAGTGTGCAGCTCCCCACTGTAACTCATGGTGCTTCCCAGGAAGCACCATGGATTACAACGTTCCCACAGATCCAACAGACATTCGTTGTTGGGTCCGGGGGGTCAGGGGGTCAAGCTCCAGTTTCGAGCAACAGCATGTCCACAGCTACTTTCCCCTAGCCCAGCTCCGGTGCTACCTTCAGAATGGGATGGGAGGACGGGAAGGGAGGAAGCTCAGTCTGGAGTTTGCCCAGCTCACCCACCCCACCCTCTAGCACAGGCTGGGCAAACCCCAGGTGGAATTCCCTACCCACTCTTCGCCCCCTCCCATTCTGAAGACAGCACCAGGGTCCAGGCTGAGCTACATCAGCCCAGCCTTACTCCCGGCCTGTGCTGACAGACATTAATGAAGGTATTCCACTTTGGAGTGCCTTCATCTGAATCCTCATATAACAAGAGTTCAGACTGTCGTGTAATTGGGCACTTTTAAAATGCTCTGCAGTCGCATTGTTCTGTCAGGGCATGGTAGTATAGTGCTTCAGAGGCTGATTGTGTGACAAAACATCACTTCTGCCAGTGCCCCTACTCTCTCATTCGAAAACTGAGAGCAATTTATGGCCATGTACGGACATTCAGTTTCTTCTGGGACAGTCACTGCTCCCCGAGGAGAAAGTATGTGTGTATAGATGCTCAGGATTTTTCCCCTAGACCAAAGGTGGCCACTCCAGGAGAAAAATAATCCATGAACAACTCAGGTTAAATCATTCCCAGGAGAGTTTTTCCTGGGACAGCAAATGTCTGTACATGTTCCCTTCTTAAAGAAGCACAACACAGTCCTCCAGTTTCCCAGGGGTACTTTGCTCCCCACTTCCCCCCCGGGGAGACAGTGTTTCGTTTGGGCTGAAGTTTACTGCTCCAGCCAAACAGGGAGCAAAGCATACCTGCTTCACAATTCCCACATTGTGCTGCAGGGAGACACAGGCTGACCCTAAACATTCTGGGTCAGCCAATCAGGTCTGTCCTGTACACTGCTGCTGTCTGTCTCCAGGCAGACTGAGGGAGTCTGCAGAGTACACTAAAATGTGTGTACAGGGGCCCCCTGGCTACGAAGTGTCAGCACTGCAAGTTTTCTGCTCCTCAGGGCCTCAGCGTTCAAGTCTGCCCAGGTAAGTTTTTTTAACCAAGAAAACAAACCCAGGAGAGTTCTCCCAGATCATCTGAACACATATACAGAGACTTTCTCTAGGTCTCACACTTCAGCTGAGTTTTCTTAGCTCTGTCTTTCTACACAGCTTAGCCGCTCTGGCAGACTATAGCTAGTAACATGCTGGGATTTCTTTGGAGCAGAAGATCACTTGCTTAGAGTCATTTCCTGTGAAAACTTACATTTTTGGTTTTACCTTCTTAAACATTTCACATGCTCTTTATCACAGTACCTGAGTGCTGATTTCTGCATGAAAACATTTCATGGTCTCTCTCTTTCAATCTATCTTTAAAACTGTGATATTCATCCTAGACAGCAAAGGAGAAGTATAAAGGTCAACACAGTTGTAGCTTCTTTTGAGATTTGCTTTTCCATCTGTATTATAAGAAATTAAAGTCACATCCTAAATCAGCAAGTGGCAAAAATGATTTCTTTTGTTTTTGATAGGTGACCTGGAACAAAAATTTGAACTGGAAATAAGCCCTCTTTGTAATCAGCAGAAGGACACGATACCTAGCATACAAATTGGTGAGCTTTACTTTCATTCTTTTGTCTTCTCCTACTCCCAAACCCCATCCTAGTACAACCCATGATCAAGTAAAACCTGGACCATAATATAGGATGCAGCAGAATTTACCTACCAAGCAGATCACAGGACTCTATAGAAAAGCTGAGTGCATTGCTCCTAGACACTGGGCCTGGTTTAGCTTTACTGCCACTCACTCCCTGAGCTCAGGCCTGACACAACAATAGCTCACAAGGGAATGAACCTCACAGAAAAAGTCAGATACTTGCAGCCTGATCCCGCATACTGGAATAGTTCAGCTGTTTGAGAGAATTAGGACAAGTGTTCCCAGAGTTGTGTAAGCGTGATGCTTCATGATACCAAGAGGCATCATGAAACCTCTGACATGCTTAGCACCTGCCACCTTAGGGTAGCGCAGTCTTTGCTTTCTGTTCTAACTTCCTACCACAATACCCCCAAAGAGGCCCTGTTCCAATGCTCAGGCTGTGCAGTGGGTCACATTAGCTAGCTGAGGCAGCAGCAGCAAGACTATTTTAGTAATCCACCCAGTGTTTCTAGTTCTCTAGCATCCCCTTTGTTTTCCCTCCCTCCTCCTTCCTCCGAGTTTTCACATGTAGCTATCCCACAGTCTGGTGAGCTGCCTCCAAAACAAAATTGCATTTGAGCAGAAGAGGGAGGAGAGGCTTCCCTCCTCATGGGAGCTGGCTGCAAATCCTCTACAGCTGCCCCAAGCTGAGGAGTGGGAGAAAGCTTGAGTTAAGAGCAGTGACTCCAGTGCACTGTGTGTGGCCAGCCCCAGAAGCCTAAAGGTTACTTTTCTTCAGTGTTTACATATAAGCTTCTATAGTGCCACACCATGTGCATGGTAAATTGTGGGGGCAGCTATGTAGCCTCTTAGATGCTCTGACAAATGTTCACAATTGAACACTTAGGCCCCCTCAAGTTTTAGGTATTGCACAATTAACTGGTTAATTGCACAATTACCTTGAGACCAGCTACACCTGCAAAGTAACTATCAGGCTATAAAAAGCTCCAACCAGCTATAAAGTTAGACCTGAAAAATTTGTATTAACTTGGTTGCTATTGAGTTTTAATTTGCGTATGTAGCAGGGTCTCCCCTGTGGCCACAGGGGTGCACTATGGCCAGATGGCACTGGGAGTCCTATAACTGAGGGGACTCTCAGCACCCCGCAGCTGCCAGGATCCAGAGTCCTACAGCTGCAGGCACAGTGTGCCTCATGGTGCTAAGACCCAGCTGGGACCTGGCAGCCACAGGGCACAGCTGCAATCTCCCAGCCTCAGAGATTTCATGCACACCTAGGTCGTGGGAGCTTCATGCACCCCATGGACCTGGGAAATTGCAGCTGCTGCATCTCCCAGCCATGGGGGTTCATTGGGCTCCCCCTGCACTGGCAGCAAGGCACAATGGGATCTAATTGCATGATCCCATAATCACACCTCCTGCCATTATGTGAATAGTGCATTAGATGCTATTGTACCTTTGCCTGCACACATAGATGGGCCCATATGTTACTAAATGTTTCCTCCTCCTTTTTCCTCCTCCAACTGAGGGAAAACATGAGGCAGGAATAACTTCAGATCTAAAGTATCTGATATTCAATAACTGGTTTGTACTTCCCCTTCCTTCTCCTCTCTGCTCCCCCCCCCCCCCACACACACACA